GGTAGTAGGTAGTAGGTAGTAGGTAGTAGGTAGTAGGTAGTAGGTAGTAGGTAGTAGTAGTAGTAGTAGTTGTAGTGGTAGTGGTAGTGGTAGTGGTAGTCGTAGGAGTAGGAGTAGGAGTAGTAGTAGTAGTGTCAGTAGTGGTAGTAGTGGTAGTAGTGGTAGTAGTGGTAGAGTAGTAGCAGTAGTAGTAGTAGCAGTAGTAGTAGTAGTAGGAGTAGCAGGAGTAGCAGGAGTAGCAGTAGCAGTAGCAGTAGTAGCAGTAGTAGTAGTAGTTTAGTTCAGTTTAGTTTAATTTAATTTAGTCAGGTTAATTTAGTTTAGTTTAGTTTAGTTTAATTTAGTTTGGTTTTGTTTTGTTTTAGTTAGTTAGTTAGTTGGTTAATTAGTTAGTTAGTTAGTTAGTTAGTTAGTAAGTAAGTAAGTAAGTAAGTAAGTAAGTAAGTAAGTAGTAGTAGTAGTGGTAGTAGTAGTAGTAGTAGTGGTAGTAGTAGTAGCAGTAGTAGTAGTAGTAGTAATAGTAGCAGTCGTGGTGGTGGTGGTGGTAGTGGTAGTAGCAGTAGTAGTAGAACTAGGACTACTAGTAGTAGTCGTAGTCGTAGTCGAAGTCGTAGTCGTAGCAGTAGTGGTAGTAGTAGTAGTAGCAGCAGTAGTAGCGGTAGTAGTAGTGGTAGGAGTAGTAGTAGTAGTAGTTGTAGTAGTAGTAGTAGTTGTAGTTGTAGTTGTAGTAGTAGTCGTAGTTGCTGTAGTAGTCGTAGTAGGTAGTGGTAGTTGGTGGTAGTGGTAGTGGTAGCGGCTGCCATACTAATCACTGTGATGCAACAGATCTTGGCGTTACAATGTTGTGACTAGGCCCTAAACCTGTGCTTGAAATCGACAATTGGATCAATCAAACCATACCAATCACTGTGATGCAACAGATCTTGGCATTACAATGTTGTGACTAGGCCCTAAACCCGTGCTTGAAATCAACAATTGGACCAATCAGACGTGGCAAGTTTTGCGATTTGCCGGGTGGTTTTTGAAGAAACAAGAATTCCCCAACGCCGCGCTTTCCCTACAGTACCGTGATGAGACCAGGACGAGGAGGCTCCCCAGGGGTCGGATGTACACCCTGGGGTCACTGGGTCGCCACAGCTGTGCCGGTGTGATTTGCGTGGCAGGCGCGGTGCTTGGTGCTCTTCAAGGGTCGGACGTACGCCCTGGGGTTGCTGGGTCGCCGCGCCTTCAAGCCCATTGCGCTCAACATCGCTGCCCACCACCAGTGTAGGCGTTTCAACGTCCACCCAACCAACGCGCAGGCTTGCCTTCTAGCTCCACATGAATCCACTGTGCCACATTGATCAGGGCGGGTGGAGGCCCTTTCATTTGCGTATTTCACCGTTTCAATCAGATCTTCACCAATATCCTCAGCAAAGAGTCACCCTAGTGAGGGCCTGAAGCTTGGAATTGGAGTTTTCTTCATTTGGCGCTACTTGTGGAGTGGAAGAGTAGCGACCGCACTTTGGTACGAATATGTTGCGCTGAGCAGTGAAACGCAGAAAGTATGACGGCCTCAACTGCGGACGTTGCGTTGCATTGCATTTGCATTGGGCAACGCCTTATTGCACTCAACTTGAAAGTTTGCTTGTTATTTTTGCTTGTTTTTACATGGTTTTGGCCAGTTGTTTCTTAGGCCACTTGTTTCTTACTGACTGATGGACACCAAATCTGATGCCGTACAGGGCAGGGCTTCAGACAGCGGCTTGAGATCTGTTGTCATATGTTGCCCAGTCATCAATTCGAAGGAGTCTTGCTAGCTGCTACCACCTCGACAGCATGCCGAGTTCTTGACGGACTTGACGAAAATGGAGTGTTTGCAGATGAGTCTATTCTTTCTTTTGTGCCAACAAAGCTGAAGGAATTGTTGGTGTGCACAATTTGAGATTTGAAGGACTGGGCAGCCTGCGGCTCAACGCCCTCGCAGGAATTTTCTTTTTTTCATTTCATTTTGGAGCCAATGGCGACATCCTGGAATGATCTGATCAGTTCAACGGAGACGGTGAAGCCGGCAGACGATGTGCTGAAGGAGGCAGTGCAGTTCCTGGTTGATGTTGCCAAGCTCCCAAATCCGAATGCAGCCAGCGGTGTCGCTGAAGCAGATTTGGACAAACTTCAACTACCAGCTTCTTTGCCAGCCTCAGCGTTGATTCGCTGCTTGGTTAGAAGTGTTGAAGCTTTGGACAAAGCTCGACTTGCGCAGGCGACTGCAAAGTCGGCTTTGGCGTCCACTCCTGTTTCGGCAAAGTTGCTGGCGTCCGCTTTGGCTCCATCCAAAGTGCCGGATGTAGCGGACCTACTGCAGCAGTGTGGTCTTAGCAAACTTGGCTTTCATGTGCAGGCGGATCAGTCCTTGTACACCACTTTGCAGGTAGCCTCAGAGGAAGCAAAGGCTCAGAGCCGCGTGCCCTTCACTTATGTGGATCTGACCAGCAAAGAGGTTCTTCCATTGTGGTTGCCAGCAGACTCTGTTGGTGGTAAGTTCACTTTGCGAGATGAAGAAGAGTCCAAGCTTGTAGGCCATCACTCCATAGGGTCGTTGAGTGATTTGTCAAAGGCCCTCAAAGGGGCCACTGCAACCCCCAGATTCTTTCGCAATGTCCAGCAGTGGGTCGCTGCATTTGTCAGGTATGCAACTACGGCGGTGGCAACTGGACAGATGACTTGGCCAGTTGTGTTTGGTCACCTGGATGTGATTCTCCAAATCTGCGAGCAAGAGAAGATCAAAGGTCGTGCTCCTTATCTGGCTTTTCTTTATGATGATCTGCTGCGCCGTCAGTGGGCCCGTCGGGCAGACAAACGTGATCCATCCCTGGACATTGCCATGGAGTCGCAGAAAATTGACAAGGACATCCTCGAATTGGCAAGACAAAGGTTGAGCCAAGTTTTGCAAGAGGTGGGCATACAAGACGATGTTTCGCAACAAATGCCATCCGCCGCAACATCATCCACAACCTCTTCCAGTGCGGATGTGGCGCGGCAACTTGCGGCTGCTGAGCAAGCTCAGAAGCGAGCTGATGCTGCCAGTAAGAAGTTGAGTGAGGTTCAGGCTCAGCTCTTGGCAAAATCTTCTGCGGCAGCAAGCCAGGATGGTGGCATAAGCAAGCGCCAGCTAAAGACCCATTGGTTCTCCAAGCAGAATCAAAGGCGGCAGCAGCAGCAGGACAAACGTAAACAACGCTGACCACAAAGTGATGTCGTTCCTGGTGACACTGAGGGGTGTGCGCTGGGGCTGCAATCATTGTCTGGTGCTCTCCAACTGCTTCCTGCGTGCTCTTGGCTGGCTGGTTCATTAGATGAATCAACAAGCTCTTGGTTTGTTGAAGTTTTTTTGTGGAGAAGCCGTTTTCACCTTAGCAGCAATGGCCTGTGATGTGCCCACGCTACAGCCGTGGGATCTCAAATTTGGCCCTAAGCACGATGTGCGTTCATATGGTCACATCCTTCTTCTCCTAGCGTCGCAGGGAAAAAATTGCTGCTGCCCACTTTGCAGTGCCATGTCAATCACTGACTT